AGTTTTCTAAACATTTCAAAATTGTCTACTTTTTTTTATACACTCTGTATAGTCAGCAGGAATGCCTGAACGCCTAAGCAAAATTAAGGAATACAAACGTTTGTTGGCTTTCTTCACAACATAGTTGACATGATCAATCCATTCCAGTGAGTTAGATACCATGACACCCAATATCTTGGCACTGCTCACTAGCTCGAGTTCTTTCGAATTGATGATGATGGTCTTAAACTGATGCTTCACTTTCTTAAAGTCAACTATCATTTCCTTACACTTGTCTGCGTTCAACTGGAGCTTGTTGTTTTTACTCCATTTCTCTACATCAGACACTGCACTCTGTATTTGGCTTGAGCTATTTCTTGGGACAACTTTGGCTAATGTCGTGTCGTCTTCGTATTTCCATGAGTGCCCTGATGGTTTGAGATCGTTAATCATCAAAAGAAATAGCCAAGGCCCTAATTTCGTACCCTGTGGGACACCAGATGGAATTGCACCCCATTCAGAGAAGCAGTCGTTGCACAGTTTGACACGTTGCAGCCTGTTCGATAAAAAGTCGCATACCCAGCGAGCTACACCACGTGGAACATTCAGGGAAAGGATCTTTTGAACTAGGATCTGGTGGTCGATGAGATCAAATGCTTTCCTGTAGTCTAACAAGACGATCTTCACCGCTGCACCAGTCCCATCCGTGGCAGAAGCCCATGTATAAATCATGGAAATAAGAGCATGCGTGGTTGATGATTTTGGAATAGCGCCATATTGCTTGGGATCGATGATTTCGAGGACGGCAGGGCCAATATAATATCTTACGATAAAGTCCTCAGCTAGCTTTGATAGAGACGGAGTTAACGAGATAGGTCTGATGTGCTTGGTGATTACAGTCACAGGTTTCGTCTTTGGCAGTGGTGTTACATTTGCGTACTTCCATGATGGAGGGAGAGCTTGTTCGGCAAATGAGCTATTGAGGATGACACAGACTGGGTTTGCGAGAAACTCGGCATAATCTTTAAGGAGCCAGTTCGGCACGCCGTCTGGGCCAGAGGCTTTTCGAGGGTTAAGCCTTACTAGTGCTAGGTAAACTGAGGAGTCTTCGAGTGTTAGAACTTCCGAATCATTATCAACAGGAGGAAGACTGTCAAGTGGTTGATAATCCTGCATCGGTTCTAGTAGGGCAGTGTTTATGAGGTCGGCAATATCCTTGTTCGATTTTCCATCAAGTCCATCAACATGAAGTTGGGCGCGAAAATCCTCGGTTGGCGTTGCTGGGATCATTTCTGATAACTTTTTGATCTCGTTCCACCACTGACTTGGCTTAACATTCATGAGATTCGCATCTCTCGAGGTGTAATATCTGCTTCGGAGCACTTTGCGTTCACGATTAACGGCGTTGCGAAGTTGGCAGAATCGTTCTTGTACTCCTTGTGTGTAGGCTTTCTGGCGTAACTTGATGAGCTTTTTAAATTCAGGAGTTACCCAGGGAGGATCATTGACATGTAATTTAAAAGATTTGAGTGGCATGATAGTGTCTACGCCAATTTTAACAAGGTCAAGAAACAGTGCTAGTTTGTTTTTGCATCCATTAACAGAAGCGAGAACGGACCAGTCAATAGAGCTCAGATATCTACCAAGTTCTTGTCTTCGACTTGAAAGAGTGTCTCTTCGAGTAACAAAGCGACGGCTAGATGTGAGCACAGGTCTTAGTTTAGGCTGCAATAGTAACACTGAATGGTCAGACAAGCCAAATGGTGGAAAGCTCTGCACCGATTTTTTGTCATTGATCATCAATGCTTGACACAGCTTTCTAAAATCCAGGAATGTAGCACTCGAAAACCAGCCCCATTTACACTATGGACTAAATTTATCGGCACGACATATGTTACTGCTAATAAATACACCCAATAAAAATACGAGAACATACATCACAAACATTCTCAGCGATGACGGATAAAAATACAAGTGCATTAAAACAGAAGCCTATAGCCATTTAGAGAAGAAGACTCACCTCTTCTGAAGAATGATGAAGTAAACATTGAAGATGAACGATAATTGCTTTACATTTTCCCAATTGAGATGTAAGATCTAATTTCTCTTGGCGTAAACTACCTAAAGACGTGCAAGAATATATATTGTGAAATAGGCAATTATATTATATACCTTATCTAAAATTCTAGTCGGTTAATACAGAATGCCTTTCGTGCGATTCCCACAATTTAAGTTACCATGGTCAATAGTACAATGCGATTGGAATATCAGCTCTTGAAAAAAATCTTAATCCTTGATACTCCAGTTGTGTCTTGCAAAAAAATACAGGCAGGCATTTTTTTCAAATTTTCACTCGGGTAAATTCTCAGGGCTAATCAACATGCTAGTGTTTTTTTAATGACCTACAGAATTACGCAACTTGAAAGTCAAATATTTGACTTAACGGAAATATTTGCAATAAAGACAGTCAACAGTTATGTAACTCGGTGTAATAAATCAGCAGATCGAGGCAATGTATGTAGGGGTTGTTTTTTATGCTACCCGCGCGCGGAGTGAAAACCCGCAGAAATTATTCGGGACATAGGTTAAACGTTCAACTATAACACAATAAAACTGCTGGGTATGCGGGGGATGAGGTAATGTTTCAATTTAATGATGCTATATGTTTAAGCTTTGTAACTTTTTGAACTGCTGTTGTATGGTTGAACTTTTTTATGTATTACTTACCGATTGTGCTGTTCAGCTGTGCCACCAGACCTCTTATATGAACATTATCCTTACTTCAATCTAAAACGTAATTAGTATTTTCAGTTTTAGCATTTGTATTCGCCATGGATTGGGTCAGTTCGCGGTTTCTCGCCTTCACTTCTCGAATTTATTTTTCCAGACTTGTCACATATTCTGAAATGTTTCGTAAAGAAATACCAGATTAATTCCATTCACACTGATCTTTGTTACGATCACTATAACGATTAGTCATCTTATGCATTAGTAATCGATCCAGTGGTACCTTTAACTGTTTCGTCAAATCCTCCATGTCCTCTCCCATTTGATGAATAACATGACGCAAATTTTCGTTCTGAACTTGAAGTTCTTCATTATTCATATTCGCTGCTGCTGTGCCAACATCTTCGACTGTAATAAGAAAAGATAAGTCTGAACTTAAGCAAAAAAGGACGAAAACGTCATGCATTTACCACACTTGAGATTTGAGAAACATGCATGAATGATAAAATCTAGCGAAATGATAAAATTTTGCGAATCCATGGGGGGAAGTATCGATGTAGAGGTTTCAGATTCGCGAGCACAGGGTAGGTCCTAAATTAAAAAAAAACTCAAAAGAATTTTGAAATGTGTCAAGTGTTTTGGACATCTTGCGACAGTTACCTCGTCAAGCATATCAGCTGGCTTTTAAGTATAGGCACTATGAGAGGAGCATGATTCGACTTGTAATCTACTTTGAACAACTTTATTACGGCGAATAACAGAGACTGAATATGGAATCGATATTACCATCGAAAATTTTTCGAGGATTTTACACTTCGTCACACCTTGTACAAAATTTTGTTCAATTTACATCAATTCCTCTATTTGTGTTAATCTCCCCAGCTGCCAGAGGAGCTAGGGCCCCATATACGCCGTATAAAAACCGAACGCTAGGCGTTTACAATCTACCTACAATCAAGGTGTAAAACTCACCTGATATTTGGGAAGGCACGGTTAGTCCATGAAGCTTGAGGATAGAAACTGATTCATCTCTTTGTGTCTTCAAAATGTGGATAACACTATCCTTGTGAAGCAGTTTACGTTTCTGTTGTTTCACTAACGATAACGCCTGATGTGAAAAAATACAGAAGAGTTCTATCAACCTGAATGTTGACATTGAAGTCCCTGATGATCAGTTTAGTAACATTATATCACTTCATATGGACCTTGTGGGGCTGAAACTTCAACGGGATTTCAAATTGAGTGGGGGTAGGGTAGAGGCAATGGAAAGGGGTATAACTTACTATTTACATATTCATATATATTCACCTCTTCTTCGCCTTGTGTTAAATTCCTAACCAGTTTTTCTTGTTTATCATACCCAGTTCTCTCTGTCTCTTCACATCTGCGCTCCTAATCTAACTCTAGCTGAGCCCTAGAACGTTCCAACGACGACTCTCTCTCCAAAGATAAAGACAACTCTTTCCGCCTCCTAAAGAAAAAAATTGTTGGATCAAGACCTGAATTTACATCTGTAATAGAAATCTTCAATACAATAAACGACTAGTAATATCAACACAAAATAGGATCCGTAAATTGCGGGTATGTTTTTTTTTACGACTTTCGATCAAACTTTTTCACTTTTTCTTTACCTTAAAATATCGTTTGTTATCAATCCTTATTTACACTGTAGTACAATTAGCAATTATTGAATGAGGTTGAACATGATATGAAGAATTATCAAGCGGAAGTTTGTCATTATCAACCGAAGCCGAAGGCTGAGGTTGATAAAGACAAACTGAGACTTGATAATTCTTCATATCGTGTGAAAACCGAGTTCATTATATGTTTTATTATTTATTTAAAAGAATGAACATGTATTCCTCAAAGTTGCCGAACCTTTCACTTGAGGAAGCCATTGTGTTGATGTCTTCACCATTCGTGTGACGTCAAACGTGGGATACGACTATTTATCACACTAAAAAAGTCGTATCACACGTTATGACGTCACACGTTGGATATGACGATTTCACACATGGCTATTAGCCAATTACAGACTGTGAATTCTTTTAAATAAATAATAATATTAATGAACACATATATTTGCACTTCAGCCCAGCAAATGAGGTGTTTTAGACGGATGGATTAAATGGCTTCAAATAATAACCAGGTTTATCTGATCAGATATGTTTAAGCCCCGTGAAAAATCACCTCATACGGTGAGCATGCAATTATTGAGGAGCGTTTTACGATAGGTCGGAATTTAACAACAATCGAGAAAAGAAAGTTATATTCAACGTTTATTCGCACCTCTCAAAATCATTTTTTCTCTGCACGAGTTCAGATCACATCTTGGCATCCTGTTGATGCAACGTTTCCAATTCAACATCCTTTGCTACAGTTAATCTGGAATATTCCTGGTTCTGTTGGTCCATGTTGCTCTTTAAGTTTGCGATTGATTGATTTAGCCTGTGTAATAAAAAAATCAAGTCGTTCCTCTCGAATTGTTAAAAAGTTGTCGAATTTCAACATCAACTTGTTCAAAAGCACTATTCTTGAACGGATGAATTCATGAAAGTCATAATAAGGCGTTCCAACAGCCCGGTATTATAGGTTAAATATGGTTTTTCGGTTCAAAAGCGGATATATTCTAAGTTTTGAAATAGAAATGCCCTGTGGCAGAGCTTAGATTAGTAAAAATAAATTAGAACAGCTCACATTTGTATTTTGGACATATTGAGGATAAAAATATTTTCAAAAAAAGCTACTCGTAGACACGAGACACGAGTAATGAACCTTTGGAGGTTCACAATCGAAATAAATAATCCATTTCGACTTACGCCAGATCCGTCAATGAACATACATTGGTACAGAAATCAGAAATGCATAATGTGATTGATTTAGGTAAGAACCCATTTCAATATACATGGTCTTGTCCCCCGTCCCTCCCCCCTGAGGAATTTCATAAAGCTTACGTATGTATTGTGACATCACTTTCCTTCAGTTTGTCCACAAGTCTCCATTCCTTTTGACGATGTTCCTGTTCTTTAGCTTCGAGTTGGTTTTGTAATTTGCGAATATTCTGTTGAAGTTGTCTTTCTTCCTCAGTGAAACCCTGGAATGAACAATCACAGACTTAAATAATGTTAAAGCATCATTGGGATGATCGATATATAGCTAATATACCAGGAGTGTATATACGGCTGTACATATTGTATTGTACAACCCAATTGTTGCGTCTTTTTAATAACTAGACACTCAAAAAACTACCACAAGAATTAATGTTTGGTATCTTGTTCTACGTGAACATTTCTTTGTTGGGGTTTTGTCCATAATGAAGCGACTTGCAAATCGCTGTAACCACAATGTTAAGGCCCTGTTACACTGCGCAATTTTTCTTGCAACTTGCAGTGCAATTCTACTTTTGAAAGATGTATGTAAATTTGGGAATAACAAAACTTTTGTCTTCATACACTTCACGCACTTTTCTTCTGCAAGACTAATAATTTAAATATCTTAGCAGTGCAATTGCATTGCAAGTTGCAAGAAAAATTGCACCGTGTAACATGGCCTTTAGTACTAATTACCAGTGAATTCGAATTATGGCAGTCTGAAAGGGATGTCTAAATAGAAATCCATTCTGCAGAATTTCATAGATTTTATTTATCAACAAACCAAACTTAAATGCAATTCTCATGCAACATGCAATGATCATAGTTAACTGGTTTGAGTTATTCGAAAAACAGGTCATTTGATCTGAAGGTTATGTTCATCTAAATAATTGTTAATGAACAGGCATATTGAGGTTTTTATGGTCTTAGGCAATGGAAAAATTTTCTGAAAAATTTCACAATCTAGAGAACAAAGGTCCTGTGTTTCTTGCCATTTGCCGAGGAAAAGTATGGGGTCTACTGCATTTTTCCATTGTATTAACACCAAAGTCTTTAAACACAGACATTTAAGACAGCTTGTCAGGTTTAAAAGCTGTAAGTTAATCTGCTGAAAATGTGTCAGATTTGGTGGAAACAGGTATTAATTTCATGTCCAGAGTCAACAAATATAATCCTTGATTCTAATTAAAATCCTCTAGTATAAGTAAACAGCAAAAAGTCATTTTCATATTTCAAGAAAAAAAAACTCATTTTAATGAGTTCAAATTTTTTTGAGAGAATTATAAGAAAATTTTCTTAAAATAAGAAAAGTTGCACACAAATAATTTTTCAGTTTAAGAAAATTTTCTTGAAATTAGTCCAAAATTTCTTATAGAATGTTTATAATGAGAAAAATTTTCTTAAGATATTTTTCTTAATATAAGATATATTTCCAAGAAAATATTTTCTTATTATAAGATAAGTTAATTCTCAAGAAACCCTAGAAACTCTGACATGATATTTTGTTACATGTATGAATGTAATGTAAATTTACTAAAATATTCATGAGTCATAATATAGAATACACAGCAGACATTAATACATGAGAATTATAGGTCCTACATGATTATATAGAAATACAGAGAAATGATCATATATAATATTGCACCCAGGCTTTGAAGGTTTTGTATTTGTCCAGTGCTTATTTGACATGTTTTTAAATATCAATTATTGCAGTACAGATCAATTATTGCAAAAGATTTTTGTCGTCCTTAAAATCAGATGAGACATCATCAGATAAAGTTGAGAGTAAATAATTTAAAAATTGTGAAGTAAATCCTAAGTTCACACTTAAAATAAAACTTTGCAATCGTGTTAGGAATTGAGTACATCAAACAAAAAATACTAGTAAATAATAATTTAGCTACTGTGGGGAATTTTAAGCTATTCTTTAGCTATCCCCTGCTATACCGGCATCTTTAAGAAAACTATTTTAAGACTATTATCAAATATGCCCATCCTACAACCCATTCTACACTGCTTTTCTACCTCCCTATGATAGTGTAAATTCCAATCAATTCACCATGTAAATGCATGTAATTGATTCAAACAATATATAGATAGAGGTCTTATCCAATGAAATCAAATTGTGTTAAATCCAAAAACTGTCCCTAACAAGATATGGATGGATAAATGTATCTGAAGGCAAAAAGAGAGCTTTGTGATAATTTTAATGATATAGGCAGACTCTGATGCACAATTTATACCCTTTGGAACAGTCCCAACCCTGCTGTGGAGAAGCACTGTTACATTAACCCCTCTCGATTTAGTATCAATCTGAAAATATAACTCAACTCTTTATAATATCCTACATTTCAAACAAAGACATTAGAAACACTGCCATATGCTGCTCCTTCGTTATATATATATCACAACATTGGACTATTCTATTTTGCTCCTCTGAGGTATTCTAGCCAGGCCATAATTGCTGAGGAATTCTAAGGTATTGTTTAGCTATCCCTACTATAGCCAACTATTTAACTATATAAACAGATAATAACATGGAAAATCATAGCGCAAATCATTGAACGATGAAAAAAGACCTAAATGCAATTCTTGATCTATAATAGGGTCGAATAAAGGCTAACGAAGGCTAACAAATAAAGGCTTATACGTTGTATATATATAATAACACACTCGATCAGCATGTTGGCATATGACATCATGAAACATCAACTCACCTTATTAGATACCACAAATTTGCGCCGATATAGTGTATATTTTTTCACATCCTAAACGTCCATATCTTTATCGGTAATATATAAAGTAAATAACAAGATAGAAATCCATATTCGCCATAAAAAAACAATATTTCTTTGATATGCATTATAGCGTTATAGGTTGTTTCGCTTAGTATTCAAATATCCCTCGTGGTCTACGCTCGAAAAGCATAATGGGATAAATAGAATAATCAGGCTCTGCGTCAGGCTGGACCATACAATTATCAGTATTAAACCTTTGAATGCTTTGAATTTTCTCACGCCGGATTTCTGTAAATGAAAACAGCATTTTGCAAACATTATATTATGACTTTCTTCTATTTTAATGGTTCTTGACCGAACATGTCACGCCATGCTTGTAAAGTGCAAGTACGAAAAGCTGTTGACTAGGGCGGGGGGGAAAGCAGCTTCATTGTTGACTAGGGCA